TATTTCACGTGGGCGTGTTTATACCTCGTTATAAATCTATAAAACTATAAAACTGTAACATAATGCATAATAAAACCAGGTCCAACCAGATCTAACCAAAGTCTGAACCAGGACTAAACCAGGACTAATCCAGGACTAATCCAGGACTAATCCAGGACTGAACCAGGACTAAAAAAGGACGTCAAAGCCAGGTCTAAACTAGGTCTAACTGTGGACTAAATCAGGTCTAAACCGAGACTAAATCAGGACTAATCCAGGACTGAACCAGGACTAAAAAAAAAAAGACATCAAAGCCAGTTCCAAACTAGGTCCAACTGTGGCTTAAACCAGGTCTAAACCAAGATTAAACCAGGACTAATTCAGGACTAATTCAGGACTAAACCAGGTCTAAACCAGGTCTAAACCAAGTCTAAACCAGGTCTAAAAAAGGTCTAAACAAGGTCTAACTATGGACTAAACCAGGTCTAAACCAAGATTAAACCAGAACTAATCCAAGACTAAACAAGTAATAAAAAGGCATTAAATCCAGGTCTAAACTAGGTCTAACTCTGGACTAAATCAGGTCTTAACCAAGACTAAATCAGGACTAATCCAGGACTGAACCAGGACTAAAAAAAAGGACATCAAAGCCAGTTCCAAACTAGGTCCAACTGTGGTTTAAACCAGGTCTAAACCAAGATTAAACCAGGACTAATTCAGGACTAATTCATGTCTAAACCAGGTCTAATCTAGGACCAAAACAAGACTAAACCACATCAAAGACAGGTCTAAACTAGGTCTAACTGTGGCCTAAACCAGGTCTAAACCAAAGACTAAATCAGGACTAAATCAGGTCTAAACAAAGGTCTAAACCAGGCCTAAACAAGGTCTAAACAAGGTTCTAACTGTGGACTAAACCAGGTCTAAACCAAGACCAAACCAGGACTAAATCAGGACTAATTCAGGACTAAACCTAAGGTCTAAACCAGGTCTAAACAGGGTCTAAACCAGGTCTAAACCAAGTCTAAACCAGGTCTAAAAAAGGTCAAACAAGGTCTAAAACAAGGTCTACTATGGACTAAACCAGGTCTAATCAAGATTAAACCAGAACTAATCCAAGACTAAACAAGTAATAAAAAAGCATTAAATCCAGGTCTAAACTAGGTCTAACTCTGGACTAAATCAGGTCTTACCAAGACTAAATCAGGACTAATCCAGGACTGAACCAGGACTAAAAAAAAGGACATCAAAGCCAGTTCCAAACTAGGTCCAACTGTGGCTTAAACCAGGTCTAAACCAAGATTAAACCAGGACTAATTCAGGACTAATTCATGTCTAAACCAGGTCTAATCTAGGACCAAAACAAGACTAAACCACATCAAAGACAGGTCTAAACTAGGTCTAACTGTGGCCTAAAGCAGGTCTAAACCAAGACTAAATCAGGACTAAATCAGGACTAATTCAGGACTAAACCAGGTCTAAACCAAGTCTAAACCAAGTCTAAACCAGGTCTAAAAAAGGTCTAAACAAGGTCTAACTATGGACTAAACCAGGTCTAAACCAAGATTAAACCAGAACTAATCCAAGACTAAACAAGTAATAAAAAGGCATTAAATCCAGGTCTAAACTAGGTCTAACTGTGGCCTAAACCAGGTCTAAACCAAGACTAAATCAGGGACTAATCCAGGACTGAACCAGGACTAAAAAAAAGGACATCAAAGCCAGTTCCAAACTAGGTCCAACTGTGGTTTAAACCAGGTCTAAACCAAGATTAAACCAGGACTAATTCAGGACTAATTCATGTCTAAACCAGGTCTAATCTAGGACCAAACCAAGACTAAACCACGTCATATTAAACCAGGTCTAACTGTGGACTAAACCAGGTCTAAACCAAGATTAAACCAGAACTAACCCGAGACTAAACAAGTACTAAAAAGGCATTAAATCCAGGTCTAAACTAGGTCTAACTGTGGCCTAAACCAGGTCTAAACCAAGACCAAATCAGGACTAAACTTGTTTACACCCACAGACACAGATCCACGTGCAAAACTGAGATTATTTCCTTTTTACGGACAATCGGTTTGAGTCTGGATTAAAAGGACATTTATTAGTTCAGACTTGTGATGTGGGAGGAGCCTGTGTGAGGCTCAGTGTTGGAAATACGTCGATTCTGAAGCTGGTTTTCGTTATTTCTCATTGGTTAGAGATCAGGCTGTTTTCTTTTCTATCGGCCGACTGTAAAGTGACTAAATTGGCCGTACATTTGTTACTGAACCTGCATTGATATGTAAATGAGCTGTGAACAGAGGTGCGAATGATCGACATTTACACTCATAATTAATTACCACGGCGCGCAGCATTTACCGCTAAAGACTAATAGCGGTAGTTTACTTTCTTTACTAGCTAGAATGTGATGCAAAAATGCCATGAGTCCGACCTACTGTCCGTAAATATGACGTAAAGAGTCAGAATTACAATAAATGTTGCCTAAATAAACCCCAATTTAAAACCCACTAGAGCCAAACCTACGTTTTTTTTAAGCAATTCAAGATTTACAGTGAATTTTTACATCGCGAAATATATCGGCAGCGCAAACTCACATTTTATCGGTTTCATATCGGCCACAACAAAAGCCGTATCGGTCGGGCTCTAGTCTCGATACAAACATTTAAAACTCGATCTTAATACTAAGAAACAGACTCGATATTGTGATAATAAAAACGCTTTCTCCACAGATCTGACCTGTAACTTCACTTTTATTGTCATCCGCTTGTGGGTGATGGGTGAATTTAAAGGTGCACTGTGTAACTTTTCGGTCATCTTCTAGTGGTTCTAGAGCTTTAAAATACCTAGAAAAACAGACATTCTGACTGTGAGCGGGGTCGCCTCTCCACAGATCCGACCTGTAGCTTCGTCTAGTTTGGTCTCCATGGAGATAGAAAGGTTTAATGCCGTACTGTGGAACATTCCAGACAATACCGAAGCAATAACATCTACACAAAGAACGTTAAAAGTCAAAAGAAACTGAATTTTTAATCGCAATTTCCATTTCCATCAAACGATCTCCAAACTCATATAATCAAGATGAAACGATTTATCTTAACAAACTTTATTTTTGGATATTTTTTATATAAATAAGTGTATTTATTAGATTTTTTAAAATGTAGAGATTGTACACCAGCTGGATATAGAGTTTATTTTGGACACATTTATGTTTTTCTGTGCCTTATTTCACGTTCAAAGTTTATTTTATTCATTTTATGCTCTAAGGTTCAGATTTGTAGCCGATATTTATTTTTAATTTGAAAGTTTTTTAGTTTTTTGAGAGAGAAATGCTGAATAAATGCATCGTGTAACTAAAAAATAATCATTTGTATAATCGTGATTTTGATATTGACCAAAATAATCCTGATAATGATTTTCTTCCATAATCGAGCAGCTCTACGACGCACCTTTTGTTTACTTTATGGATTATTTCTGGTTGCCGGGCGACCAAACCTCCTCTGGTAATCCCCCAAACAAAAGCCGCCCGTCACTCGACCTCTCGGAGCTCGGCCGAGTCACGTGTTTATTCAGCGCTTCATTTATGACGCGAACTTCGACCTTTTCGCCGCATTCCTCCAGGTGGCGGCGAAGGCTTCACTGAGACGAGGGAGCGCCGAGGTCAAAACCGAAACGTAAACTCGACCTAAACAATGGGACGGGAAGTGACACAGGACGTAAACATGTTCCTCTGTTGACGGACAGTACGGACGTCTGGACGCGGAACATACGAGCGCGATTCAACTCCAACACGAGATTTTACGATTAAAAAAAAACAAAACTGAAATCTTTAAACTCATCCAAGAAGGACACGGGTTTCAGAAGAAGTTTGTACAGATTTAAACTACAGAAAAATATAAAACTATAACATAATACATAATAAAACCAGGTCTAAACCAGGACTAAACCAGGTCTAACCAAAATCTGAACCAGGACTAAATCAGGACTAATTCAGGTCTAAACCAGACCAAATCTAGGACCAAACCAAGACTAAACCACGTCAGAGCCAGGTGTAAACGAGGTCTAACTGTGGACTAAACCAGGTCTAAACCAAGACTAAATCAGGACTAATTCAGGTCTAAACCAAGTCTAATCTAGGACCAAACTAGGTCTAAACCAAGTCTAAACCAGGACTAATCCAGGACTAAAAAAAGGACGTCAAAGCCAGGTCTAAACTAGGTCTAATTGTGACCTAAACCAGGTCTAAACCAGGTCTAAACCAGGACTAAACCAGGACTAAACCAAGATTAAACCAGAACTAAACCAGACTAACCAGAAACTAAAACCAGGACTAAACCAGGACTAAACCAGGACTAAACCAGGACTAAATCAGGACAAATTCAGGTTGAACCTAGGATTAACCCAAGATTAAACCATGTCAAAGGCAGATCTAAACGAGGTCTAACTGTGGACTAAACCAGGACTAAACCAAGATTAAACCAGAACTAATCCAGGACTAAAAAAAACACATCAAAGACAGGTCCAAACTAGTTCTAACCATGATTAAACCAGGACTAATCTAAAACTGAACCAGGACTAAAAAGGACATCAAAGCCACGTTTAAACTAGCTCTAACTGTGGTCTAAACCAGGACTAAACCAGGACTGAACCAGGACTGAACCAGGACTAAACCAGGACTGAACCAGGACTAACCAGGACTAAACCAGGACTGAACCAGGACTAAACCAGGACTAAACCAGGACTGAACCAGGACTGAACCAGGACTAAACTGTGGCTACAAAAGTAGTCCTGGTTCAGTTTATCTTCATACGTGGTCATAAAACATCCATGCGTTTCAAAACGGTGACATATTAAGACTGTTGCTATGGCAATTAACAATTCTAAACGAAACATTAAACATCTTTTTAACAAGAATAAATCTTTAAAAAGTCGCTGAAGCCCGTGAACATCTGATCGTTATGTTCTTCGCTAAAAACAGATTGATTTATTTATTTTATTTATTTATTTCGTTGACTCACTGATCTGCGCCACCTTCACGTTCACCGTCGTGGACATCTTCTCCGCCGCCAGGTGCCACCTGCCGCCGCCGCCCGAGCTCCTGCCGCCCTTGTCCACGAACGCCCTGACCCTGCAGGAGTAGGCGCCCTCGTCGTCGGCGCCGACCCCGCGCACGCCGAGCCGCACCTGCCCCGGGGCCACGAGCTCCAGGCTGGCGTCCGAGCGGTAGTTGGTGCCGTTGGAGACGACCACGCCGTTCATCGCCATGGTGATGAGGTCGCGCCCGTTCAGGAGCCACGTGACCTCCAGGCCGATCTGGGGCTGGTTGTCGACGGCGACGGTGCAGAGGAGGGAGAGGGAGGAGCCTGGCGTGAGGACGGCGGCGGAGAGCAGCGACGCCGACACCGTCAGAGACTGACCTGAGAAAAAACAAAAAAACAACTGATCCAGACCTGGAAGTAATATACATAGTATTTATAGTAGTAGTAGTAGTAGTAGTAGTAGTAGTAGTAGTAGTAGTAGTAGTAGTAGTAGTAGTAATAATAATAGTAACAGTAGTAGTAATAACAGTAATAGCAGTAGTAAAGTAATAAAAATAGTAGTAATAGTAATAGATGTAGTAATAGTAGTAGTAGTAGTACCAGTATTCGTAGTTATAGTAGTATAGTAATAATATTAATTGTAGTAGTAGTAGTAGTAGTAATAGTAGTACTAATAGTAGCAGTAGTAGTTATAGTAATAGTAGTAATAGTAGTAGTAATAGAAGTAGTAGTAGTAGTAGTAGTAATAATAGAAGTAGTAGTAGTAATAGTAGTAGTAGTTATAGTAATAGTAGTACAGTAGTAATATTACTTGTAGTAGTAATAGTAGTAGTAATAGAAGTAATAGTAATAGTGTTAGTAGTAGTACTAATAGTAGAAGTAGAAGTAGTAGTAGTAATGGCAGTAGTAGTTACAGTAATAGTAGAACAGTAGTAATAGTAGTAGTAGTAGTAGTAGCAGTAGCAGTAGTAATAGTGGTGGTGGTAGTAGTAGTAGTAGTAGTAGTACTAGTAGTAGTCATAGTGGTAATTGTAGTAGTAGTAGTAGTAGTAGTAGTAGTATTTTTATTACTACAGTTCTTGTGTCTTGGTGACGTCTCTTTTCTAAACCTCAGACTAATGTACATTTTATATTTTTCTTTTCTTCCTTTATCCTTTAGAACAGAAAGTACACACAGTATATAATGTACACATACAGAGTACACAGAGTATATACTGTACATGTACACAGAGTACACATACACACAGTACACAGTGTGTATACTGTACATATATAAAAGTACTTGTAGTAGTAGAGTGTGTGCATTTCCCAACCGCGTCTCGCCTTCGCACAAAAATCACAATTCACCGTTTGACCCTAAATCTCACATAGTTCTGTTGCCGGGGACGACGGCGCCGCTCCCGCCCGTACGGAGTCTGGGAGCGGACAAAAGACGCGCCGTTTGCTTTTCCCGCACACGGGGTGAGTCAATACTCCGCTCGCCCAAAGCACAAAGCACAAAGCACTTTCATTAGAGATTTGGACGCACGGACGGCGGCCGATGCGAGATAGGGTCGCCACGGTAACGCTCGTCCGCACAAAAGGATGAGCAAACGCCGGAGTCCTCGGAGGAGACGGCGGCGAGGAGACGACGGCGAGGAGACGGGGCGCTCTTTAAAAACAGGGAGGAGCCGTCACTCTCCCATGACCCTGGACAGAGCCGGTCCCATCAGCTAAAGTTTCAGTTTGACACATTTTTAAAGCTGCACTGTGTCACTTTTCTGGTGGAAGAGACGTTAAATGTTTTTAGTCTGGTTTAGTCCCAGTTTAGTCCTGGTTTAGTCCCAGTTTAGTCCTGGTTCAGTCCTGGTTCAGTCCTGGTTTAGTCCTGGTTTAGTCTGAGTCCTGGTTTTAGTCCTGGTTTAGTCCTGGTTTAGTCCTGGTTTAGTCCCGGTTTAGTCCCGGTTCAGTCCCTGGTTTAGTCTTGGTTTAGTCCTGGTTTAGTCCTGGTTTAGTCCTGGTTTAGTCCTGGTTTAGTCCCGGTTTAGTCCCGGTTTAGTCCCGGTTCAGTCCGGTTCAGTCCCGGTTCAGTCCGGTTCAGTCCCGTTTCAGTCCCGGTTCAGTCCCGGTTCAGTCCTGGTTTAGTCTTGGTTTAGTCCTGGTTCAGTCCCTGGTTTAGTCTTGGTTTAGTCCTGGTTTAGTCCTGGTTTAGTCCTGGTTTAGTCCTTGGTTTAGTCCTGGTTTTAGTCCTGGTTTAGTCCCTGGTTTAGTCCTTGGTTTAGTCCTGGTTTAGTCCTGGTTTAGTCAGTCCCTGGTTTAGTCCCTGGTTTAGTCTTGGTTTAGTCCTGGTTTAGTCCCTGGTTTAGTCCCTGGTTTCCAGTCTTGGTTTAGTCCTGGTTCAGTCCTGGTTTAGTCCTGGTTTAGTCCTGGTTTAGTCCTGGTTCAGTCCTGGTTCAGTCCTGGTTTAGTCCTAGTTTAGTCCTGGTTTAGTCCTGGTTTAGTCCTGGTTTAGTCCTGGTTCAGTCCCTGGTTTAGTGCTCTTTAAAAACAGGGAGGAGCCGTCACTCTCCCATGACCCTGGACGGAGCCGGTCCCAGTTTCAGTTTGACTCATTTTTAAAGCTGCACTGTGTCACTTTTCAGAGCCGTTCAGTGTTTTTTTTTTTTTCGTGGAGATTAAGTTTGGGGATGGTTCAGATGATTCAATATAATTCCAAACGTTACAGCTTTAAACATTTATCACTCATCTTTATTTTGTGGTCCTTGGTCGTCTGAGAGTCTGACCCTCTTTTATCACCCACACAAGGACAGGGACACTTTAAAGCTCTCTTCAGGGACATTATCTGGGCTTCAGTAACACAGAGCTGATGTGAGCCTGCGAGACAAAACCCAGGACCAAATCTACTCTGTGTGACTCTGTTGATAAAAGGTTAAATTTATGTCTTGGATCAATTTGACAAACACCAGAGTAAAGTTTAGTCCTGGTTTAGTCCTGGTTTAGTCCTGTTTTAGTCCTGTTTTAGACTTGGTTTAGTCCTGGTTTAGTCCTTGGTTCAGTCCTGGTTCAGTCCTGGTTCAGTCCTGGTTTAGACCTGGTTTAGACCTGGTTTAGACCTGGTTTAGTCCTGGTTTAGTCCTGGTTTTAGTCCTGTTTAGTCCTGGTTTAGTCCTGGTTTAGTCCTGGTTTAGTCCTGTTTTAGTCCTGGTTTAGACCTGGTTTAGACCTGGTTTAGTCCTGGTTTAGAGACCTGGTTTAGACCTGGTTTAGTCCTGGTTTAGTCCTGGTTTAGTAGTCCTGGTTTAGTCCTTTAGTCCTGTTTAGACCTGGTTTAGTCCTGTTTAGTCTGGTTTAGACCTGTTTTAGTCCTGGTTTAGTCCTGGTTTAGTCCTGGTTTAGACCTGGTTTAGACCTGGTTTAGTCCTGGTTTAGACCTGGTTTAGACCTGGTTTAGACCTGGTTTAGACCTGGTTTAGTCCTTGGTTCAGTCCTGTTTTAGTCCTGGTTTAGTCCTGGTTTAGTCCTGGTTTAGACCTGGTTTAGTCCTGGTTTAGTCCTGGTTTAGTCCTGGTTTTAGTCCTGGTTTTAGTCCTGGTTTAGACCTGGTTTAGTCCTGGTTTAGACCTGGTTTAGACCTGGTTTAGACCTGGTTTATAGACCTGGTTTAGACCTGGTTTAGTCCTGGTTTAGTCCTGGTTTAGTCCTGGTTTAGTCCTGGTTTAGACCTGGTTTAGTCCTGGTTTAGACCTGGTTTAGACCTGGTTTAGTCCTGGTTTAGACCTGGTTTAGACCTGACCTGGTTTAGCCCTGGTTTAGACCTGTTTTAGACCTGGTTTAGGTTTAGACCTGGTTTTAGACCTGGTTTAGTCCTGGTTTAGACCTGGTTTAGTCCTGGTTTAGACCTGGTTTAGTCCTGGTTTAGTCCTGGTTTCTGGTTTAGTCCTGGTTTAGTCCTGGTTTAGTCCTGGTTTAGTCCTGTTTAGTCCTGGTTTAGACCTGGTTTAGACCTGGTTGGTTTAGTCCTGGTTTAGTCCTGGTTTAGACCTGGTTTAGTCCTGGTTTAGACCTGGTTTTAGTCCTGGTTTAGTCCTGGTTTAGTCCTGGTTTAGACCTGGTTTAGAGAGACCTGGTTTAGACCTGGTTTAGACCTGGTTTAGCCTGGTTTTAGCCTGGTTTAGTCCTGGTTTAGTCCTGGTTCAGTCCTGGTTCAGTCCTGGTTTAGTCCTGGTTCAGACCTGGTTTAGTCCTGGTTTAGACCTGGTTTTAGTCCTGGTTTAGACCTGGTTTAGACCTGGTTTAGACCTGGTTTAGACCTGGTTAGACCTGGTTTAGTCCTGGTTTAGTCCTGGTTTAGACCTGGTTTAGACCTGGTTTAGACCTGGTTTAGACCTGGTTTAGACCTGGTTTAGACCTGGTTTAGTGAGTCCAGGTGGAAGGACTTTACAGCTTTAATATGTGACTCATTAATCCGATTGGTCCGGACGAAGTTTTGTTTAAACGACAAAAAAAAAAACCACTCGACTCAAACGGAGTAAAAACAAACAGAGTAAAAATGTGAGATAAACTCGTATCAGTTTGAAGAAAGTTTGTTTAAAGGGGCGTTCGGTGTGAAAATGTACTTTTATCAAACTTGCTCCACGTTAAACCAGAGTCTGTCAACAATAAAACTCCTGGAGCAACTAGAGAAACTAGAATAAAAAATCTAAAAAACAAATCCAAGACGGCGTTTTATTGTTTTTAAATGTCTGTGCTTATTGAAAATATTTTAACTTTCAGATTATTTCCTGAACACTGGGCTCAGGGCAGGAACGACACCCACTCCTACAAAACTGACTTTTAGGAGTTTTGGACGATATAAACTTTTTTTTTTTTTTTAAAGTTCATGTTGTAAAAAATACAAAAGATTCCAACAAAATACAACTTTTTCTGACGTTTTCCTGGTTTAGTCCTGGTCTAGTCCCTGGTCTAGTCCCTGGTCTAGTCCCTGGTCTAGTCCCTGGTCTAGTCCCTGGTCTAGTTTAGTCTTGGTTTAGTCCTTTGTTTAGTCCTGTCTGGTTTCCTGGTCTAGTCCCTGGTCTAGTCCTTGGTCTAGTCCTGGTTTAGTCCTTGGTTTAGTCCTGGTCTAGTCCTGGTCTAGTCCCTGGTCTAGTCCTGGTTTAGTCCTTGGTTTAGTCCTGGTCTAGACCCTGTTCAGTCCTGGTCTAGTTCTGGTCTAGTTCTGGCCTAGTCCCTGGTCTAGTCCTGGTTTAGTCCCTGGTCTAGTCCTGGTCTAGTCCCTGGTCTAGTCCTGGTCTAGTCCTGGTCTAGTCCCTGGTCTAGTCCTGGTCTAGTCCTGTCTAGTCCCTGGTCTAGTCCCTGGTCTAGTCCTGGTCTAGTCCCTGGTCTAGTCCCTGGTCTAGTTCTTGGTTTAGTCCTTGGTTTAGACCCTGTTCAGTCCTGGTCTAGTCCTGGTTTAAGCCCTGGTCTAGTCCGGTCTAGTCCTTGTCTAGTCCCTGGTCTAGTCCCTGGTCTAGTCCTGGTCTAGTCCTGGTCTAGTCCTGGTCTAGTCCCTGGTCTAGTCCCTGGTCTAGTCCCTGGTCTAGTCCCTGGTCTAGTCCCTGGTCTAGTCCCTGGTCTAGTCCTGGTCTAGTCCTGGTTTGTCCCTGGTTTAGTCCCTGGTCTAGTCCCTGGTCTAGTCCTGGTCTAGTCCCCTTGGTCTTAGTCCTTGGTCTTAGTCCTGGTTTAGACCCTGTTCAGTCCTGGTCTAGTCTCTGGTCTAGTTCTGGTCTAGTCCCTGGTCTAGTCCCGGTGTAGTCCCGGTCTAGTCCTGGTTCAATCCTGGTTTAGTCCCCGGTCTAGTCCCTGTTTTAGTCCCGGTCCAGTCCCGGTCCAGTCCCGGTCAAGTCCCGGTCAAGTCTCTGGGTCCAGTCCCGGTCCAGTCCTGGTCCAGTCCTGGTCAAGTCTCTGGTCTAGTCCTGTTCCAGTCCTGGTCTAGTCCTGGTCCAGTCCCGGTCCAGTCCTGGTCAAGTCTCTGGTCTAGTCCTGGTCCAGTCCTGGTCTAGTCCTGGTCCAGTCCCGGTCCAGTCCTGGTCAAGTCTCTGGTCTAGTCCTTGTCCAGTCCCGGTCCAGTCCCGGTCCAGTCCCGGTCCAGTCCCGGTCCAGTCCCGGTCCGGTCCTGGTCTTACTGATGGGCGTGACGGTGACTGGTCCCATTTCTTTGGTGCTCTGGACGATCTGGAGCCAGTGTCCGCTGCTCTCGTGCGTCCACTCTGTGCCCGTGCAGCCGTACGTCCCCTCGTCAGAGGTCGTTACCTTGGTGATGACCAGATCGAACACGCCGCCGCGCCCCGGGACCAGCCGGATCCCGCCGTCCGAGTACCTGGACCACCACACGGCAGGATGTAAGACACGGTTAAACTCAAGTACTCGCTTATGTTTAGACCTGGTTTAGACCTGGTTTAGACCTGGTTTAGTCCTGTTTTAGTCCTGATTCAATCCTGATTTAGACCTGGTTTAGACCTGGTTTAGACCTGGTTTAGAGTTGGTTTAGACCTAATTTAGACCTGACTTAGACCTTGTTTGGTCCTGGCTCAGACCTGGTTTAGTCCTTGGTTTTGTTCTTGTTTAGTCCTGATTTAGTCTCAGTTTAGACCTGGTTTAGTCCTTTGTTTAGTCCTGGTTTAGATCTGGTTCAGACCTGGTTTAGTCTCTGGATTAGACCCGGTTTAGACCCAGTTTAGACCCAGTTTAGACCCAGTTTAGACCCAGTTTAGACCCAGTTTAGTCCTTGGTTTAGTCTCTGGTTTAGTCCTCGTTTAGACCTGGTTTAGTCCTCGTTTAGACCTGGTTTAGTCCTCGTTTAGACCTGGTTTAGACCTGGTTTAGTCCTGGTTTAGTCCTGGATTAATCCTGTTTTAATCCTGTTTTAGCCCCGGTTTAGTCTCTGGTTTAGTCCTCGTTTAGACCTTGCTTAGTCCTGATTTAGACCTGGTTTAGACCTGGTTTAGTCCTGGTTCTGGGGACACAGGACTCAAAACTGGGACTGTCCTGTATCTGCTGAACATTCCACCATAGAGACACGTGTAAAACCCACACTACAGACTACGACCAGACTCTTCAAGCATAACCTCCCGCGCCCTCGGCTCCGCCCCCGTCGCGCCCTCGGCTCCGCCCCCGTCGCCCCGTGAGCCTCACCTGCGCTCGTAGGTGCGGCCCGCGGTCACCTCGCCCTGCGGTCCGAACGACAGGATCTCCTCCGTGTCCAGGGTCTTGGACTTGCGGACGGACCAGGTGATTGACAGGTAGGTGGGCTGGGTCAGCTCCCGCGTCACGTTACACGACAGCAGCACGTCTCCGCTCTCCGACACCACGGGCACCGGAGCCGCCGGCGACACTCGCAGCGTGTTCGGGATCACTGCGAAAACACAAACAAACCAACCAGAAGGAGATTTAGAAAAGACAAAAACGAAACACGATGGAAATAAAACTGTGTCGGTCGTTTTTCAAAATAACCAAAATGAAAAAACAGATAATGATTCATTTCCTGTTTCTGTGACGTAAACTGAGATGACGGACTAAACCAGGACTAAACCAGGACTGAACCAGGACTAAACCAGGACTAAACCAGGACTAAACCAGGACTGAACCAGAACCAGGACTGAACCAGGACTAAACCAGGGACTAAACCAGGACTAAACCAGGACTAACCAGGACTGAACCAGGACTAAACCAGGACTGAAACCAGGACTAAAAGGACTGAACCAAGGACTAAACCAGGACTAAACCAAAGGACTAACCAAGGACTAACACAAAAACCAGGACTAAACCAGGACTAAACCAGACTACAACCAGACTAAACCAAGGACTAAACCAGGACTAAACCAGGACTAAACCAGGACTAAACCAAGGACTAAACCAGGACTAAACCAGGACTAAACCACCAGGACTAAACCAGACTAAACCAGGACTAAACCAGGACTGAACCAGGACTAAACCAGGACTAAACCAGGACTAAACCAGGAAAACCAGGACTAAACCAGGACTAACCACTAAACCAGGACTAAACCAGGACTGAACCAGGACTAAACCAGAACTGAACCAGGAACCAGGACTGAACCACTAAACAGGACTGAAAACCAGGACTGAAACCAGGACTGAAAACCAGGACTAAACCAGGACTAAACCAGGACTAAACCAGGACTGAACCAGGACTGAAACCAGGACTGAAAACCAGGACTAAACCAGGACTAAACCAGGACTAAACCAGGACTAACCAGGACTGAACCAAGGACTGAACCAAGGACTGAACCAGGACTGAACCAAGGACTGAAACCAAGGACTGAAACCAAGGACTAACCAAAGGACTAAACCAGACTAAACCAAGGACTAAACCAGGAGACTAAACTAAAACTAGGACTAAACCAGGACTAAACTAAACAGGTCTAAACCAGGTCTACACCAGGTCTAAACCAGGACTAAACCAAGGACTAAACCAGGACTGGACTAAACCAGGACTAAACCAGACTAAACAAGGACTAAACCAGGACTAAACCAGGACTAAACTAAACTAGGACTATACCAGGTCTAAACTGAGACTAAACCAGGTCTAAATTAGGTCTAAAACAAGGACTAAACCAAGGTCTAAACCAGGTCTAAACCAGAACTAAACCAGGACTAAACCTGGACTAGATGGTCACATAAAAGAAAGTTTAACTATTTAATGTTAAAAATCACAGTATATTGTCTAAATAAAGTGTATTTTTATTATTTTTTGTGTCGTCAGTATCAGTTTTTTCCTTAAATTCGAAATCAAGTTTGAAATTTCCGTATCGTGAAAACATTTCTGAGTTTTTAAAGGTTTCTAACTCGTATCGGGCGTTAGATTTACATGTTTTTTTTCTGAATTCAACCTCAGATTTTGGAGGTGCTCGTGTGTTTTCCGTCAGCTCCTGTGGGCGCGGTCGGGTTTTGTTTTGGTTTTTTTGATCCGGTTCTTCTTTGTCGTTTTAACAGAACTCGTCTGTGAGGAGGAAATGTTTGATGAGGTTTGTTAGACTTTGTCCTCGGGTTTGTTTGGTTTTGATTTAACATTTAATTTTTGCAGATTTTAAACCAATAAAATCTCCCCAAAAAATCACACTTTTTAAGAACAGTTTAACAGTTTAAGACCCGGAGTTGCGTTTTTGTTTCATTCACACGTTTAACACACAAACCTGCACATTTAGGCTGAGTTTTTATCTCAGACAGAAAAAAAACACTGGGTTCCACCTTGTGATGTCATCATGTGGTGATACAGGACGTGCTCCACTGTGTTTTTAAACTCCACACACTTTCACTGTAATCATTTGGATCATTTCAGTCCTGGACTTGTCGATCTCTACTGAACTAAAGGTAAAAGGAGCTGTTGAAAACTACCACTTCATGACATCACAAGGTGGAACAGAGCATTTAGAGCTTTGTAGATGTAGACAGGCTAATAATGAAGAAATAAAACACAACAAAGACAGGCTTAGACTTGTTTTAGTCCTGGTTTAGCTCTGGTTTAGTCTCTGGTTTAGTCTCTGGTTTAGTCCTGGTTTAGTCCTGGTTTAGTCTCTGGTTTAGTCCTGGTTTAGACCCGGTTTAGACCCGGTTTAGACCCGGTTTAGACCCGATCTAGACTCAGTTTAGACCTGGTTTAGTCCTGGTTTGAACTCAATGAAAACAGAAAGGTTTAAAGCCGTACTGTGAAACATTCCAGACAATAACAAATCAAAAACATCTGCACAGAGAAAAACATTTGATGAACTCAACACCAGGAAAGTTACACAATGCACCTTTAAAGTTTGTTTGTTTTAAAGAGTTTTCATGTTTTTGTACAAATCAAAAACTAGTAGTACAGCCGTAGTACAGTAGTAGTAGTAGTATGGTAGTAGTAGTACAGTAGTAGTAGTAGTAGTACAGTAGTACAGTAGTAGTAGTAGTATAGTAGTACAGTAGTACAGTAGTAGTACAGTAGTAGTACAGTAGTAGTAGTAGTACAGTAGTACAGTAGTAGTAGTAGTAGTACAGTAGTAGTACAGTAGTAGTAAGTAGTACAGTAGTACAGTAGTAGTAGTACAGTAGTAGCAGTAGTAGTAGTACAGTAGTAGTACAGTAGTAGTAGTAGTAGCAGTAGTAGTACAGTAGTAGTAGTAGTACAGTAGTAGTAGTAGTACAGTAGTAGTACAGTAGTAGTAGTAGTACAGTAGTAGTAGTAGTAGTAGTAGTAGTACAGTAGTAGTAGTACAGTAGTAGTACAGTAGTAGTAGTAGTACAGTAGTAGTACAGTAGTAGTACAGTAGTAGTACAGTAGTAGTAGTAGTACAGTAGTAGTAAACAGTGTTTGGTTGCCGTGGTAACAGTGGGAGAGTCCAGACGGTTGTGCAAACTTCAGTGTTTTGAGTTTGTGTTTACACAGAGGGCTGGACAGTAACGGTTTAACGAGGACGCAGTTGTGTGTACAGATATTTTTAGACACGTGTGCGTCTAAAACACTGTGTAAAGAAGAGAACTGAGAGTGTGCGACGTCACCAGCAACGCTCAGCTCCACCTCATGATGTCATCATGAAGCGGTCGTTCCCCTTTTCGCTTCAGTTCAGTCGAGAATGATCCAAATGATTCTAGTGAAGGTGTGTGGAGTTTAAAAACACAGTGGAGGCCAACAAAACTGAAAATTTGCGACTTCTTCCTCTTTTAATGCTTTAAAATTTGGATTAAATCTGTTATTCTTCTGTAGTTTGCACTGAAATGGAGCAAAGGATCATGGTCTATGTAGTTCCCCCTGTTTTTTTAGATATTACTGCACCAAAACTATTCATTTAAGCAAAGAGACTTGTGTTTTTCGATAAATTGTGAGACTTTTGGCGATACGATTTGACGATATTTCAGTTACTGGTACATCTCTAACCACAACATGACATCACAAGGTGGAGCAGAGTGTTTTTTTGTTTCAGTTTGAGAGAAGAACATGTGTGAATGAAACAAAACAAAAAAAACACAACTCCAGGTCTGTTTGTGAGGAGGAAACTACATTAAAACAAATCAGAAAACAGCGTAATATGAGAGCTTTAATGCCCCACTGCGGAACATTCCAGATTCAAGTAGGGTAATAATCATCTGCACTGAAACAAGAAGCAGGCAGTGTGTCAGTAAAAATGACAAAGTGCATATTACTCCATTTTTAAAAACCGTTAACCACGTCTTTTTGTTGACTTCATGGATTATTTTTTGTTGCCAGGCGACCAAACCTATTCTGGTAAAACCCCAAACCACTTCTTCATTCACAGTAAAGGCTAACAAAACTGAAAATGTGCAACTTCTTCCTTTTTACATTCTTTAAAATTATGATTAGAACAGTTATTTCTTCTGTAGTCTGCGCTGAAACAAAGCAAAGGATCATGGTCTATGTAGTTCCCTCTGTTTCCTTAGACATTACTGCACCAAAACTACGAGTTTAAGCAAAGAGACTTGTGTTTTTCAATATATTGTGAGACTTTTGATGATATGATTTCAGTTACTGGTACGTTTTTAACTACAACATGACATCACAAGGTGGAAAAGAGTGTTTTTTTTTACTTTTGAGAGAAGAACTCAGCCTAAATGTGCAGAGTTTGTGTGTTATACATGTGAATGAAACAAAACACAACTCCAGGTCTGTTTGCGATGAACAAACTACATTAAAGCAAATCAGTAAACAGTGTAATATGGGCCCTTTAATGCCCCACTGTGGAACATTCCAGACACAAGCAGTGTCATAACATCTGCACTGAAACAAGAAGCAGGCAGTGTACCCTCTATCAGAAAAAAATAACATTAAAAATGACTAAATTATGCCACCATATTATGGTATACTGCAACAAACATTTCTTTTTGTTTCCTTCATGGATTATTTTTTGTTGCCAGGCTACCAAACCTGCCCTGGTGATCCCACAAACCACTTCTTCATTCACTTCTTCTGGAGAATGTGAATATGTGACTTCTTCCTCTTTTAATGCCTTAAAATTATGATTAGAACAGTTATTTCTTCATGTTGTCTGGGCTGAAATGAAGCAAAGGATCATGGTCTATGTAGTTCCCAATGAAAACAATCAATAAAATGGATTATTAAGTCTCTGTAACAAAATTGCCTTTAAAAGTGATTTTAGTCGTTGACTTACATTGGAATATTGTGTCTCGTCTCTGGCGGCTCTGAGACTCTGCATTTTGGTCTTTTAAATGTTCGTATGAACCTGTGACACAGGATGTTGTTTCGCTCTGAGGGAGTCTCTGTTCTGTCTGGTGTCGTGTCTGTGTCTTGTGGGATTTCAGTGGATTTCGGGCTCTTCCCGGGGGCGGGGATAGGTGTGTCGATCAGGTTTGGGTTTATATCGGCTGTTGGGGTTTGAGACATTTCTT